TACCGTACCTACCGTAGTAGTAGTAGTACGTGGTACGTACGACTAGTAGTCGTACTATAATAGTAGTGTGTGTTGTACGTACACACTACTACGTACGTCTATATATATATATATATATATCTATCTATATATATATATATATATATATATAGGGGCGATGATTTAATGGAATGACTTCTCTAAAAAGCATCATTAGAGCAAGTTATATGCACATTGCATGCTTTTACGCTAAACATACAATGTAATTGTTGGCAAATTGGGATAACCCAAATCCCTACTCGATATGATGACCACTAGAAATACTAATGGTCCAGGCCTGGTCCAATCTAGCGATTGCCCTAGCCACTTTAGGACTGGCTTGACCCTAGCCTAAACCAAAGAACCCTTGGTCTTGGCCCTACCTAAACTAAAGATGCCTTGTTCTTGGCGTTGCCCTTGTCAGGGCTGTGCTGGGTCGGGTCTCATAGACCTTAAGAAGAAAATGAAAAAATATGGGAGGGGGGGGGGAAACAAGGCCCAGCAAGGCCGGATTGGGCCGACCTCTTGTGGCCCTAGCACTCGGACCATGGTGGCCGGTCCTTGGCCCGGCCTTCAAGCCACATTTTGTGGTCTACACGCCCTAATTTTTCAAAGCCAGACTGCCTTGCTCATTGCAAAGTTACTATTTGGCGATAAGTTGGTGTACATCCCCTTTTTTATGCTATTTTGTCTATAAAGCACCATGGACAAGGCCCTAAACATGCATGACCTCATTTTACTTCTACTATTGAAGTAAGGGGATGGTTTGTATAGAGCCTAGGCCCTAAACAATCAAATTAGAGCCTACTTTCAAATAGTGCTGAGAAAGGTAGTTTCAATACTGAAAATATTTGTGATAGCTTTAGAATATATTTTAATTTTTATTTATAAAGTTTAAAGCTTAAAAAATAGTGTAGATTGATAGATCTATGAAAGCTTGAAAATTGACGGTCCAAAAATGTATTACAAAATACACAACTTTCAAAACTTGAAACCCATTTTTTTCTCATGTCCATGTATCTTGATGTCGAGATAAAAATTTGAGGATATTTGGGCATAAAAACAATCTCTTCTTGGGAAATTTTTGAGGTAGGCTCAAATTTGATTGTTTAGAGCCTCGGCTCTATATAAACTTTTCTCTTGAAGTAATGCGTACCTTAAAAATCTATCAAAAAAAGGTTGTTTCCATGCGGAAAAACCCACATACCCTCAACTGGATCATCTCAACCTTAAAATATGTAAACACAAAATAATAAAAGATTTCAAGTTATGAAAATGGTACTTCTTGTAGCACATTATCTGAACCGTCTATTTTCAAAATCTTTAAGTATTTATAGATCTGTTCTATAAGTTTCATTTTTGGACCTTCAAATTTCATAATTACGGTGACAATAAATTTTTATGTCATTGTAAGGATTTCTAGCACCACAACTACATCTTTCGACATAGTCTTATAAAGTGCACCTCACTTCAATAGTATAACTACATCTTTCGATATAGTTTTATAAAGTGCACCTTACTTCAATAATATAAGATTGACATCTTGTACAAATCTCTTCATTTAGAAAAATATGCTTTGATCATAATCACATTTAATTCAAGTCAAAATAGACTTGGCAAGTACACTCCATGCAGCCTGCAAGGTGCCACTTCAAGCTTAAACTTTTGTTACTTAAATCAATGCCAAAAGAGGGCTAGAAATGGGCGCTTGGGGTGGGATAGGATTGGCCCTCGCTTGGCCGCGGTGCCTATAGGGCCGGCCCAAACGCCACCCAGGCCAAATGTTGCCAGAACGTGGCCCAAGCCAAGGCTCGAGTGTGGGTCACCCCTAGCCCAACTCCAGGTCATATTTTGCAGCCCCCACCCTAGTTTTCCAGGGTAAGCCACGCACCTATAATTTGTGGCCCAAGCCCTAGATATTTAAATATCAGGCTGCTTGATCCATTGCGAGGCCTAGTACCGTTGTGGTATCCTAAAACAAAAAATTATATTGGGGGGGGGGGGGGGGGAACCTTTGGTGTACTTAGGACTTTTATCTCTCTACATGAAAGTTGCTTGGCAATTTCTCTCAATGTTTCAAAACTTGGATCGGTAGGGCAAATCATTGTGGTGAATTACTAGACAGATCTAGAGCGGGTCTGGATAGCTCTGAATTGGTGATCCAGAAAAATGCTAACAAAATAATAAAATAAAACAAAAATTTAAAATAAGGGTTTATAGGGTGGGGATATACAAGGGACGTAAGAAAATATTAAATAAGTTTTAAAAAATATATAAAAAAGAAATGAGGCTAGGATCTATACCTTACCGGAACCAATTGAGTCCTGATCGATTCCCATTCTGATTGACGATCCAGATTGAAAATCACCAGGTTCCAAAACACATAATTGGATTATCTAAGAGATGCAAGATGCCCTAACTTTAGTTTTAGCTGAATGTATTCTCATAATAAGTAACCATGTTAAATATTTGCAAGTCAGAGCTGATGGCATTAAAAAATGGGGTCTTTAACTTAGGGCTGCTGTTTGTATAGAGCCTAGGTTCCAAACAATCAAATTAGAGCCTACCTTCAAATAGTGTCGAGAAATGTGGTTTCAATATTGATGAAAATCTTTGTAATAGCCTTGAAATATATTTTCATCTTTATTTATAAAGTTTAAATATTAAAAAATAGTGTAGATAGACACATCTATGAAAACTTGAAAATCTTGAAAATTGGCGGTCCAAAAATGCATTACAAAATACACTATTTTCAAAACTTGAAATCTATTTTTTTTCTCATGTATATGCATCTTGATGTTGAGATGATCAATTTGAGGATATTTGGGCATCAAAACAACCTCTTCTAATGAAATTTTTGAGATAAGGTCTAATTTGATTGTTTAAAGCCTCATATCTATATAAACTTTTCCCTTCACATAGAAGCACATAGAAGCACAGTATATTTCATGTCTTAAACTTGCGAGGCATAACATAACAAACTTATCATCGAAGGATATTAAGCTAACGTAATCAAGCGGTATAATAACCCGCAAACTACTCCTTGGGCGTGGAAACTGGTGATGGATGAGATTCTTTTTAGGTTGAGAGCAAAGAAGGTTATGTTTCAACATATTTTCACAGAAAAATAAGGATGCTGATGAGTTAGTATAGGCTTTGTTTCA